GGAGCAGGCTTGGGTAGAAGGCAGGAGCTGGGGACGTGCCTGGAGCGGGGGCTGTACCCGGCCGGAGTTCCCCCGTCCCTCTCCCGACCGCGGTTGGGGTTCACGTCGCTCCCTCTCGGGGAGGGGCTGGGAACCTGCGTGTGAGGGAGAGCCTCCCGCCTGTGGGCTCGGTACGCGTTCTCCTGCGAAGGAAGGAAGCCAGGAGCACTGGGATACGGGTCCCATCAGTAAATTAAAAAAAAAAAAAAAAAGCAAGGGACTCCTAATTGGCTTTCCACTCCCCATTGGTAAACAAGAAGCTTTGCCAGCTTCTGTGGGTCATTCAGGATGGATGAAATCCACTGCCTACTGAAAAAGCTTGCCTGCCTTCTAAAAATAGATTCTCCAAAATACCTGCGAGACTTTCACTAAGTCAGAGAGACCCCCGGAAAAAAAACAAAGATCAAGCAGCTCTTCAAAATATCCGTATTTATTACTTCAAAACTCAAAGTTCTAACAGTTCACACATTTCTTTTCCTTCCAGGCTGTCCCAAATATGACAAGAGGGAGAAAAAATGTTTGCATGTATCCAAACAAAACCGTGGAAAAAAGTCCAATAAAGATAGGTTTATACAAAACTCATATGGTCTTTAATTAAATGCGACATAAGTGGTATACACGGATTGATACATACAAAAAGACAGATGCATGAAATAAAAGTTAGTATTTTACATTTCTTGTGCCTTTTGTTGAAACATAGAACATTTCACTACCAATACCATGGAGGGAATAAAATGCAGCAGCATGAACTCAGATTTCAGCTCTTACAGAATATAGATGGTAACATCGTAGAATATTCTCACTTTCATAAAAAAAAAAAATCTTATAAAAGTTAGCTGTTATCTACCATTATTGGAGAGCTCTGCTGATGTCAGTGAGTGTCTCTATTCACAGCTTGACTAACTGTTCAGGCTACACCTGCAATGATTATTTCAGTCAGTTCATCAGAGAGACACTGAATCCTCTGTTACCCGATCACCTTTTCTACTTCTCCAGTGGCCCCTTTACGGGCTTTCCAAATTTCAGTGCTAATGCTGACTGTAGCATTAACACAGCAGGATAAAGACATGACAACCAAAGGGCCTTAAATATAAAATACTTGACCATTTTATTCTTCTGATTTTTTCAACTTTAATTTTGCCTTGTTTTCACGTGAGGAGGCTTTGGCTGTTGCAGCTTTCTTTGCAGTTTCAGCAGTTTTCGTTCTTGGCATTCGCGTTCTGGAACGTATCAGGTCTTCACGTCCGAGTTCAACCATTTTTGCTTCCCATGACTTCATTTCATTTACATAACGAACCTTATCATCTTCAGCAAGCTGCAGGTATGGCTGGAAGAAAATTATGCATCAACAGTTACAAAAGGGGCTTTGTCGGGGTAACTGCCATCTCACATCCTCCCCTCTGATACAATGGTGACTTACTACAAGACCTGTGCTGTGCACATCCCAAGTGTTCACTTTTGCCTCCAGAAAATTCAAAAAACATCAAACTTGCACAAAAACCCAAAACCTTAGCATTGAATTATGGTTATGTCACCAGATGGCCATTCCTGAAGAGGAAGTTTATTTACTATTACTACTCAGAGCTAAGGCTTTTTATTTGAGTACTCTTTTGAGAGAGCTGGTTTGTGTAAGGAACAGGAACTATTTCAAATTCTTTTTCTACAGAAAGAACATGAACCTAGTGCATGTTCTAAGTACACATTCAAAACAATCTGGAAGAAAGGCATTCAGGAGGAAGGACAATAAGGTACAGAATACTTGAAAATCTGGAGGTTTAGATTAGATTTCAGTATAACACCCCTCCAATTTTCATATACCTGCAGGTTCATATTTCAATACACTGAGAAAGCTGGCAGAAAACTATCCCCAAGATAACCAAAGTTAATAAATTACTGTGTGCACACCACTTGTAGATTTCTGTTTTACCTGTCAAAAGTCTTTCCATGAGCAGCAAATTACTACGCTGGCATTTAAAAATACTGTAGATTATGAGGAAAAAACCCCAAATTGTTGCAGATTATTCCACCTTCCTCCCTAGATGCCACTCAGCGTCCATTTCCAGGCATACAGAACTTCATCTCATCCCACTCACTCACGTTTCATCAACCATGTGAAACAAATGGTCACTACTGGAATAAAAGTAATGACAATCTTTTTCAGGACATGTAAGTACAATCTCAGAGTAGTTTCCTCAGTATTATATTTTGAACAACTGAGTTCAGGATTTGGTATGAATTTATTAATTTTGACTCAAGTTTGTAATTTTCCAATTAGATCAAAACCTCATCAAAATCCACTGACATACCTGCTTTTGAGAACTGGACAGTTTTCGCCATGCATCAAATAATTGCTTCAGCTTTGCCTACAGGATATAGAATACACAATACATTAGGATTATTTTAACAGCAGACTGACCACAGAGGGTTACAGATGAATGCCATGCCAGTGAAAGCCAAGTATAAACCAATGTAAAAAAGCACAGTCACACAGGCTTATACCCCACCCTCTTAACATACGTAAATAATAAATGACACAGTTCAACAAGTTGCTGGGCATCACCTAAGCCACATTTACAGATATATAAGCACGAAGCAGTTTAAGTCACTTAGCCTGCCGCAAAAGCAGTCAGACGGAACAGCTGAGCTGATTTACAGCAATGTGACTACATCTCACCACGCATACTGGTTTCATTTAAACCAAGCCCTAACTTAAGACAAGCCCACTTAAGTATGAACTGCATTGACAGGGAACTTTGTACCACTTCAGGAGTATTTTGCCCTGTGTGCGTCAAACCAGGCCTCAGCTGACTGGAGATGCCTACTTTGTATGTAGAAAACCAAGGAACAAACTATTTCCAATATCTTGATTTACTGACTAAATGCATAGGGTAAGGAACATACTAGGCATACAGGGGAGGTCTCAAGTGCTTCAAGTGCTGTAATCCACCAGCGTAACTTAAATCACCCCAAACTGCAGTTCAGTGCAGAACTTGCGAGTTTGCTGAGGAACTCTTGCATGTTCCATAACATCAACTGTGCTATAGGAGGTACAATAACTCTACTACAGAAATGGTAGCAGACCACCACAACCGTTTGAAAAACTAATGTGTTTCTACACCAAACCAAAGAAAAGTAGAATTCTCTCCTTACAGAAGAAACAGATGAAGTCTGTAACACTGAAGTGCAAAAAACAGAGCAAATATTTAAGTCTGTATACCCACACAGCAGTTTATATAGGACATGCCACCAGCAGTATAGCCAGATCACTGCAGCCTAAAAAAAACCATAACCTAAGCAAAGCAAAATCCCAATACTGAACTATTGAGCAGTTTCTTTGAAAATGACAGAATCTAAGACAGATTTTCTGAATACAATAGGTCTATTTTAAAGAACAATCCTTCCCGGCTTACCATAGGTGATATTCCCTCACTTTCTTGAAAGTTTTCTGACACAAAAATGTTAAAGCCGCTACGAGGTCTTTTAGGTTTTCCAAGCATGGTCAATTCCTTTAAAAACAAGAAAAGTTATTCAATCTACCAAGCATGCATTTTTCCAAAACTAAACATCTGTCTTTCTATTTTATACAAAAATCAGATTCAAATTCATCTTTTGGTGTTTAATTCTATAAACTGGACTGTATGTCAAGATGCTCTCACCACTTGTCAAGACTAATGCTAAACTAAATTAAGAAAAGCTAAACAACTTGAATTTTCACAGACATTAAAAAAAAGCATTTAAAACTGATTCCTACTTCAGCTAAGTCTTCCAGAAACGAAAGACTGTTAGTAAATCCCACTCAGTAAGAAAGTCATCACAAGTTTTCTATTATCTTCATAAGACTTTGGTTTCTGGTGTGAAATACTGTACGCTGGCAGAGAGGAGGGCAGATACCCAGCTTTGTGGGAGGAGAGAAGGTGGAACAGAACCAGCAGATTTCCAGGGAAACAGAACTAGGTTTCTGCTATCAGAATGCTTTGCCTACAGGGATGATGGTGAGAGAGGGAAAGTACAGCAAGTTATGGATGCAATTACACTTTTTCTTACACTTTACAATTTTCTCCAGCCCTAAGACATTCCCACTGCAGCCTTGGTGCTGCAAATTAATATCTGCTTAGGTATTAGGTATGCCAGCTAAATTCCTTGTGGTGCCATACTCTAAAAAGGATCAGCAGAATCATTTGGATTAAAAACTTCCTCTAAGCAGGGGTCTTTTAAACCAAATTAACTTCAGTTTTGCCAATTAGGACAATGTCACACCAGCAGTTTAATTCACAGAAATGAACAAGCAACAAGCAACCCCCTCAACTTCTTTTGCCCCTGAACAAACCATAATATTGTACCTTTACAGATGGTTCTGTCTCTCAGGATTTATATATAAACCAGCTAAAAGGGAACAGGGAAGATGATCTGTATGAATAAGTCAATAAAGGACACCAACAGATGTGCCTCTACGCAGCCCTAATTCAACACGTCAGCAGCTATACAGAAAGCAGCAGAATCCAGAAAAAGGAAGGAAAAAAGGCTACTTCAAGCAGCTACTACCTTGTAGGGGCCACTGAAGTAACAGATACAAGGCCTTTGTAAAAAGCTATTTCTGGATGTCTTCCCAACCAAAGAAAGTGTTGCTGGTTCCAATGTCTTTTATTACCTATCATATCTCAGGCAGCTTTAGGAATAGGAAGAAAAAAAGCACAGAGAAGCTACCTGTGAGCACAAAGGTATCTGCTAGTTCTGGTCTTCAAGCACAGGAAAGTCACTAAAATAACTGCTAACACCAGCAATTATTTTCATCCATGGGGTTTTGTTTCAGGTTTGTGGTTTGTTTTGTGTTTGTTTTTTTTTTAATTATTCTGAGAGTGGCTTTTATATTTCTAAACATGCCTCAACTCTGCTCTGTATACCAGACAAATAGACTTCAGGTTCCTTGAGAGAAATGAAACTTAAAACTTCAAAATACTTACTCTTTTTGCCCTGAACAATCTTCTTTTTGCCAGTTGTTTTCTCTTTTCTTCTTTCAAAGCCGCAGCCTGGACTGGAGTTAGCTGTGCTTTATATGCAGCCAACTGCTCTTTATATCTTTGCCAGTCTGCCTTTCTACTTTCCTCATAAACCTACAACACAATCACCAACCTTAAACAGATGCTTTTAGTAAGAAGCACTCGACCATTAAGCAAGCTAACACTTCTAACCTACTAACAAAAAAATATTACAGACTATGCTGGAACATAAGATTTTTAAAGTAAAGTAGCAATTTCAGATCTGTTTGATTAGCAGAATGGATTCATAAGAACTCAGATTCAAAACCTGGGCTCTTCCCATGCATAATCTTAGTTAATCTGATAACATCGGATGAATCTTCAGATACATCCCAATGCAAAAACCAATCTTCCACACAAGGAGGAAGAGCTGAAGCTTGGTTGAAATGATTACTCTTAAACGTGTGTATACTCACTGCAGCACACAAAAGCTCCAGTCACTGAACACATTTCTACACCGGCGTACTGGGTTTGTGTGGCAAAGTTTTGGTAGCAGGGGGGGTTACAGGGTTACAGCGAGAAGCTGCTGGAAGCTTCCCCTGTGTCTGACAGAGCCAATGTCAGCCGGCTCCAAGACAGACCCGCAGCCAGCCAAGGCTGAGCCGATCAGCAATAGTGGTAGTGTCTCTGTGATAACATATTTAAGAAGGGGAAAAAGTTGCAGGGGGCACAGAAATGGCAGCCGGAGAGAGGAGTGAGAACATTTAAGAGAAACAACCCTGCAGACACCCAGGTCAGTGAAGAAGGAGGGGGAGGAGATGCTCCAGATGCCAGAGCAGAGATTCCCCTGCAGCCTGTGGGGAAGACCATGGTGAGGCAGGCTGCCCCCTTGCAGCCCATGGAGGTCCATGGTGGAGCAGATATCCACCTGCAGCCCGGGGAGGACCTCACGCCGGAGCAGGTGGATGCCTGAAGGAGGCTGTGACCCCATCGGAAGCCTGTGCTGGAGCAGGCTCCTGGCAGGACCTGTGACCCCGTGGGAGAGAGGAGCCCACCCTGGAGCAGCGTGCTCCTGAAGGACTGCAGCCCGTGGAAGGACCCACACTGGGGCAGTTTGTGAAGAACTGCAGCCTGTGGGAAGGACCCACGTTGGAGAAGTTTGCGGAGGACTGTCTCCTGTGGGAGGGACCTCATGCTGGAGCAGGAGAAGAGTGTGATGAGTCCTGTCCCTGAGGAGGAAGGAGCAGCAGAGACAATGTGTGATGAACTGACCACAACCTCCATTCCCCTGCACTGCTTGGGGTGAAGGAGGTATAAAGAAAATCAGGAGTAAAGTTAAGCCCAGGAAGAAGGAAGGGGTGAGGGGAAGGTGTAATAAGAATTGGTGTTCTCATTAGCCTACTCTGACTTGATTGGTAATAAATTAAATTAATCTTCCCCAAATTAAGTCTGTTTTGCCCATGATGGTAATTGGCAAGTAATCTCCCTGTCCTTATCTTGACCCACAAGCCTTTTGTTATATTTTCTCTCCCCTGTCCAGCTGAGGGTGGGGAAGCGATAGAATGGCTTTGGTGGGCACATGGCACCCAGCCAGGGTCAACCCACCACAGAAAGTTACCTGTAAGTTAGGTCTCTGGTTATTATATAGTCAGCAGAAAAAAAAAAGTTGGTCCTTTCATCAAAATTAACTGAGGTTTCACCTAACTTATGCATATGAAAGCAGAACACCTTTACAATACTCCTGTTGTTATACATCTAATGCACACACATATACACAACTATCATTCAAAAAGAAATGAGATATTGGTTCCCAGCCCTGCAGCTGCATAGAGCAAGATCTGTCTTGTTTGTTTCTCTGGCAACAGATTAAAAATACTAAAACCAAGGTCATGTGTAAAAGTATCAAAGTATCTTCCCTTGAGTACTTCACAGCTCCCAATTCTCTTCAGAATTGTTTTTATGTCTGAACCTTTGTATGCAAGTGCTTTTTTTATTGTTGTTTACAAAAAAAATCAACAACAAAAAAACCACAACACAAAACAAAAAACCCACAGTGGACACCAAACCAAGAAAACAACGACTAAGCTCTATAGAGTTCAAAGTACACAGGGCAAAGATACAAACCTACCTGCTTCTGTGATGCTGGCAACTCCTTCCAAGCTTCTGCTATTTTTTTAATCAGCTCCATGTTGGTCACTTCTGTACATTAAAATTAGAAAGCAAGAAAATAAAGATCAATATTGTATCTTTAGTAAGCTTCAATTTTTCCCAAGGAGAGCTGTCACTAGTGTCTTTTTCCTGTATAAATATATTTTCCTCCTTTCGTAAAACTAACTTACTGTGGCAGTTAAAGAGAACTCTAGTATTTGGAGGGGGAAGAGTCCCTGCTCTTGGTTCAAACTCAAATGAAACATGGTGTTATAAACTGAAGCACCATTCCAAGACAGACAGCTATTACCACTTCACAACAGTTTCTTTTTTTTTTTTTTAATCCCCTTTTGAGCTCGATCCTTTTTGATACAATGCAAGATGGTCTGAACTTGGAATGGGGGCCAGGGAAGAAACCAGAAGTAAAACTTCCCAGTTCTCAAAAGAGTCTGCTGGATTATTCAAAGCAAGTATAATGTGACCTTATCCACCTGATATAGCAGACATGCTTGATCTTTATATTAAAGTCCTTTGCTTACAATATTATTCAACAGAAGTAAGGTTAAAGAAAATGTAACTTCCTTCTCCCATAAACAAAATTACAGACAGTGACTTGAATTTGCTTTGGGTTTCTGCCAACTGAATTTGACTCTGGCCCTTGCACTATGGTAATTTGATGAGATTTCCAGCCAGACCTGAATTTGTTAAAGGGAAAAAAACCCACAAACCCAAACTAAAAACCCAAGGGCTTTAGAAAGAGGATATAACTTTTTGTGTCTTGAAAAACCCTTTTCCAGGCTTTCCCTCTGCTTCACACTAAAAGAAAAAATAGGTCTTCCTCTCTCCACCTCAAATGTAAAGTTCAGCCATCTCAACAGTGGAAAAGCAGAACTAAGCTCTTATCAGTAACCTGACTTCCAGAATTTTGGAAAACCAGTCAGATGGGGAGTTTTTAGTCCAAGTATACCAATCTTAAAACCTTTGAAAATACAATGATTTGCCAATGATAAAACAAATTATCAGGTTATTTTTGAACGTTACCTCTATTGGAACAAGAAAGCCCAAAATTCTCGATTTGTATATGAGATACAATACATTTATTTGCAGATTATTCAAATTTTGGAAACTGGAAAACACTGGTGTGGCATGTAATTACAATAAGCTCTGCAAGTTCAGTGTCTCAACCTTTCAGACTGTTGAATGCTCAAACTAGCGAGCAAAACAGGGTATCAAATGGTTTTCCCTACTTAAATTTACCTCATGACTTGGCCAATATCACCACAGTTCTTTTGACATTTTAACACTCATTTCAAAAGTATTTTCAAAATCAGCACAGCTTTCCATTTTGCTGCTCTCTGACACAACTTACCGCATTGCCTATAAATGAATTTTTCAAAAAACATTTTCCTCTAAATACATTTACTTTTTCTCCCGTATATGCTGAGGCAATCCAGTACATGTAGTTTTTAAATCACTAGAGCATCAAAATAAAAGCATATACAACTTGTTATATGAGCAATAACATACTTCAAATACATAGATTTAAAAATAACTGAAAAACACAAATAATTGTTAACATGTACTGCCCAGATGAGCTCTTTCTTCAAACACTTTTAAAGTTACAGACAAATGCTCCCTTTTTTGAGTTACTAAGTACAGAAGACTAAGCTAATACTGTACAGGCAGTAAGTATGGCAATACTGAATTTACCTGTGGTATCCTACGGATAAGGAAGATGGTTTTGGTATCTCCTGAAACCAGGGTAACGTACTTTACGACGTTTACTTTCACAAAGCAATACTTTGCTCCAGTTTTATTTTTAAACCAGGTATTCTGGAGGTAAAACACCGTATGTACCTAGAGCGACGGCAACTTTACGGCAGAACCTCAGGCACACCCCACACACCAAGACCCCGCGTTCCTGACGGCAAAACAGCCCCCATCGCCCGTCCCCTCGTACCTAACCCCCTTCAGGCCGCGTACCTGGATTTTTTTGCCTGAAAGCAGAATGGTTTTCTTTCATGAAACGGAAATAGGCCGTCAAAGGCCGCTTCGGGGGCTCATCCGAGCTGATCCCCCTGCTGAGGCCCTTCTCCGCCGAGCCGCCGACCCTGCACACAACCGCAACGCCCGTTACCGATCGCCGCGCCGCAACGCCTCGCGGGGCGCCCGGCGCAC